CTAGAGAAACAGAATTAGGGTTGTTGGCGACAATGAGATTGGCTCAGGATAGGGCAGGTTTCAGAGCTAGTATACACAGGGTTGCTGAGTTAGAGGTGACTCAGTGGCACATAACAACCAACTTTGTGTTGTCAGTGTAAATCCTTACCACTAAGTCACCAAAGGTCCTTGATTATGACTTAGAGCCTTGGAAACCAGATGAAGGATATCTATGAATTGGAATTGACTCACAGGCAGTGATTTTTGAGTCAGTGGCAATTTAGGCAAGGATGGTAGTAAGTAGAATAATGCTTCCCAAATATATCCATGCTCTAAACTCTAAGATCTGTAAATATAATTCCATATATGGCAAAAGAGTCCATAGGTGGTGTAAATAAACACTGGACTACTAGGCTGGAAGTTTGATGCTTCAAACCCACCCAGAGGCACCTCTGAAGATAGGCTTGGTAATCTGATTTTTAAAAAGTGATGGTTTTAAAAACCATGTGGAATTTTCTATTTTGTGTACATGGGCTGGTTATGAGTCAGAATCAATCTGAAGGCTACTAAAAAGCTTTCCAAAGTGCTAAAGAGAAATGATGTTAGTTTAAAGACTAAAGTGCACCTGGTGTAAGCCATGATCTTTTCAATTATTTCTTGTGCATCTGAAAAGTGGGCAATGAACAAGGATTCTAGAAGAATCAATGCTTTGGAATGATGGCTTTGGAGAAGAGTAATAAATATCCTGGGGCTGCTAAAGGAACAAATAAGTTTGTCTTGAAGGAAGTGCAACCAGGATGCTCTTTAGAGGCAAAGTGGGTCTCACATAACTTTGGGCCTGCTGTTAGGAAAGGCAAGCCCTTAGAGAAGGACCTCATGTATGGAAAGATGGAGGGTCAGAGAAAGAGAGCAAGACACTCAGCAAACTGGATTGACACAGTAACAACAATACTGGGGCTAGTGAGGATGGTGCAGATAGGACATCGATCTGTAGTTCATAAGGTTGCTATGAGTTGTAGCTGACATGATGCCACCTAACAACAACAATAACATGTCAGTCATGGTGGCATAATGCATTTTATGTTGGGCTGCTAGGATTCAAAGGTTTGAGTCCATGAGCTTCTCCACAGGATAAAGATGAGCAGTCTCCTCACCATGAGTCAGAATCTACTCAATGGTTTTGATTTAACAAGTATCATATCTTTGATTCCCACAAATGTAGGGAAGCATATATGTTTTAATAGATTTGCTCTCTCTACTTCAATCAACAGTTCTGGGGGCCTAGTGGCAAGAAGCTGCTACAATCCCAAAGACACGCAGTTCGAGGCCACCAGTGGCTTCGTTGGAGAAAGATAGGCAATGTCTTCCCATGCAATTAACTGCCTCTGAAAACCTGCTGAAGGGTCTGCTATGGGTTGGTTCAGACTCTATGGAACACAACAACAACTACAACAACAACTTTCATCAACAGCAGGCAGAAAAGACAGACATCTACGTTTTAGGAGGAAAAAAAATGTAGAATAAAATACAATTTCTGAAAAAGTCCAGACTAACTGGATCAATAGAGATCATGGGGACTCCTGAGACTATTACCTTAAAAGACCCTTAGAATTTTGAACTCAAGCTGCTCTTGCAGCATTCCTTACAGCAAAATTGATTTATAAAATTATAAAATTAAAAATGCCAACCATGACCTACAATCAATAAGACTCTAGGTCAAACTGCACAAGTTCAAACCACAGATTCTTATGAAACTTAGTTATTTGATTTGATCTTCCAAACGAGTAGAGTAGATCTTCTAATATAATACTTCTTTAGTTTATGTTCTCTTGGATCTGAATTGTCAATTCATATATATTTACAAATTGTCTTGGAAAATCCAAGATTGATAATCTGTCACTTGTTTACTAATTACTGTTGAGTTGGAATCCACTCATAGCTGACTGTTCAGCAGGTTTCTGAAGATGTAAATTGCACTGGAAGAGATTGCCCATCTTGCCTTGCAGAATCTCAGGTGGATTGTATTAAAGAGACAGAATATTGAGGTTTGCAGCACCGTTCTCTACAGACTAAGGCACCAGGGTTTCTTAACGATCAACTATATGAGACCAAATAGCCCATATTTACCCAGAAGAAAAGATAAGAAGGTAAGGAGAGGTGGTAGTGAGGTTACTAGTTCAAAGGAGGCACAGTAATAAAAGGAAATAATGAGAATGATGACACATTTCGATCATTGTAACCAATGTATGGAAATAACATACAAAAATCTCTAAGATGGAAACTGGATTTACTGTGTAAACTTTCACCTACAACACAAAACATTTTTTTTTCTTAAAGAAAGAAAAGCAACACAATTAAAAGAATCTACTCCCTAACACAAATTTCTAAAACTCCTCTGGTCTTTAAATTTTTTTCCCCCTGTTTTCTCCCTGCTTTTGCTCTGGCTTTTCTCTAGGCTAAAATTCTCTAATGGGAAGTCCCTACCTTCATGTGTCAAAAATCTGACTCCTGTATCAAGAGCAGCATTTCCTTCTTAAATATAGCAATTTCTTGCTTTCATTTCCTATTTGCCTTGTTTACAAATCTAGTACTATTTATATTCTCCCTTTCACAACAGCTATTTACTTAATTTTATGTTTTTTCAGAACCCTGGAAATTATCTCTTTAGAAAATCAAGGCACGTACAGCATCACTGCATAATTATTAATTTTTTTAGAGTGATGAAAATAATAATCTTCAGTTTCAACTGTTCTCAAGTAATTATCCCTAAGATGTGTGTATATGTTTTCTAGAAAAAGAAATAAGTACAGTGCTGAAAATCATTGCACAGTTTCTTTGAATATGTTTTCTGTCCAAAAAAAGTGCCCTTGTTTGCCATTTAATTGGTTTTTAAAAAAACCAGTGATAGGCTTTGACTTGTCCTTTAAATCCACAGGAAATAATGGACTACATTTGATTCTGCTATTGCTGCCAATGTTTCTGAATCTAAAAAAAAATGTGATCAACAATAGAACTTGCCTTTCTCCCTTTGGGGTAGAGGCCTGTTTTCAACCAACTCATCTCAAAAATCATGATTAGTTTCCAATTTTAACTATGATGCCATCCCAAAGGCCTGCAATTTGAATACAGCAGCTGCTCCATGGGAAAAAAGATGGGCAATTTCCTCCCGTGTGGTTAAACTGCTCCTAAAACCTGCTGGAGGGTCAGCTGTGTGTTGGTTTTGAATTGACCCTACACAGCAACAATAAATCTTGTTCTTAGATGCTGAGCTGATAATTCCTACTCAGTTACCCAAGTTGTACAATTTACAGAATTAAATTTTCATGTTGTTGTTTATTTTCCTCCCTATTTCCTGCCCCAGTTCACTTTTAGAAAAAAATATTCATTGTTGCCTTACCTCCATGCAGTTTTCAAAAGGAATTTCTTGCCACATTCCTCCACCCCATGGAGGGAGGTGGTGGATGAGTTTGAACTGCCAGCCTTTTGGTTAGCAGTCAAATGCTTAAGCTTTTCACCACAAAGGCTCCTTTCAATGAATGTGGATTTCAAGCATTCTGCTACAAAAATGATATTATGATATTAATATAGAGGACTGACAAAAGAAATCTATGGATAACTCTTGCTGTTCTGAGATTTATGGTGTCTTAGTTGTCTGGTGGGGAGCACTAGTGGCCTAGTAGATGAGGAATTGTGCTGTCAACGCAAAGCAGGTGGTTCAAATCCACCAGGTGCTTCAGGGAGAAAGGTGGGTAATCAATCTCCTCCTGTGCAATTTACAGCTTCCAAAAACCCAATGGAGGGTCAGCTGAGTTGGTTCTGACTTGATGTAATGAGTTGAATTTTTGTTGTGTGATCTAACAGGGAGCTCTCACGAGCCTAGTCTGCAGGTGTTGGGCTGCTATCTGAAAAATGGCTGTCTCCAGTGACTTGAAACCCTCAGCTGCTCTGAGGAAGACAGACGTACAATCTCCTGTTTCAATGTACAGCCTCAGAAACCTAAGGAGACTCAACACTATGAGTAAGTTCCCTTTCGATGGTAATAAGAGAGAATATTGCTACAAAGATACCACAAGTGGATGGCTCTAGCACACATCAGTGTATCTTTTACAGTTTAGGAGTCTACAAGTCCAGATTCAGTGTGCCAGTTCTAGAGGAAGACTCTGTGCCAGTTGTGAAGGAAAGTCCTTGTCCCCTTTAGCATTTATAGGTCTCTCAAGACCTCTGTGTATTCTGACCTTACCTGATATCAAGGAACTTTGTCTTGCAGGGGCCCAGGTACAAAAAGCTGCACTTGAGATTAGTTTTCCCAACTGCTTTTATACTGCTAGAGGCCCAGCCTTTGGGTTAGCAATGCAGCTCCCATAATTATAGGCCACACCCGAAAGGCACTCTCCTTATATCCTATTAGGACTGTTATGTGATTAGGAAGTATTACATTCCACCGATAATGCTCTTAAAACTATTTGGTCTAAGAGATGATAGAGGATCAATACATAGCTCTCACAACATATCAGTATATAGATGTGTTTTGTGGTAGACATAATTCAACATGGCCTATTTCTTATTTTAAAAATTAGATTTTAACTGGCGTGTAGAAGCACAACTTGATAAACTACTCTAGGACAAAGTTTGTGCCTTCTCTTAGGGTTCTAAGCTATGCTTGTATGCACATGTGTGTTTAATTAGGGGTTAGCAATGATTCTCTCTGGTGGCTTATCTGTAGAATTGCACAGTCAACTCAAAGGCTGTGTTTCTCTGGTGATTTAGATCTACCAGCTGCTCCTCCAAAGAAAGATGAGCAATCTCCTCCCATACAGTTTACAGGCTTGGGAACCCAATGGACAGGCAGCTATGAATCAGTTCTGATGCAATGAGTAAGTAACTCTCACTTTGGGTTTTCCAATATAAATTGCAAATGTAAGCAAACTAACATTTCAGACCAAAGAGGCTATAGAAACAAATAAGCAGTTTTATTAGAAGATCTGCTCTAAAAACATTCTTCTGTTCCCATTTCTGGAATCTTACCCACACCCACAGTCATCAACCACCATATTCTCATAATGTCGGAGAATGACATTGTCATCATTGTCTCGATAAAGCATGGAAATAGGAGATAACTTGGTGGGGATACAGACAGCCTTGGGGACCTCTGGGTCTACCACCCTCATCATAGCTTTCATGAAAGCATAATTGGAGCTCGTTTGAGAGGTGGTCAATGAGAAAGGACATTCTCCGTGGCAGTAGTTTGCCTTGAACCCCTTGGGGGCAATGATCCACTTGTGCCAGCCCAGATCCCGAAAGCTGATGAACAGCTGGTGAACATGGCAGAGGTTCTCACAAGGAGTTTGAGACGTAGGGACTGTTGATCTTCTTTTTCTGAGTGAAGAGTGGCACTGCTCAGTGTTGAGGATCACCACCAGCAGGGAGGCATGAAAGAGGCGTCTCAGTTGGGCACAGGTCTCCTCAAGCTGGAAATTCACTTCCGGGTTTCTGTGCCGTTTAAAGAGGATTTCTAAGAACAAATCCAAGGTCTTCTGGGACTTGTGGTTCCAATCCTTAGTTAAATGAAGCACGTTGAAGTGAAGGATACCTTGCGGGCCTGGCACTGACTGTAGTAGAAATGTTTTACCTGGTTTAGGGTGGGACTTGCCCCTTATGTGACGTTCCTGAACCAGAGATAGAATCAATTCCAGTTCTGGTCCCAAGTTGTAGTAAGTGTTGGGTCCCAAGTCCAGGCTCAGCCGGACCATAGTTAACCGCTCCTTTTCTTTAATGGCAGACAGGTTGAAGTAAAGGTGCTTCTGAAGGCAGGAAGAAACTTGGGCATGTTTCTTGGAATGAAGAAAGAAACCTAGATGGGAGCAGAGAGATGGGAAATCACAAAACTGTTTACTTAATATTGGGCTGTTGTTGTTGTTATGTGTCGTCGAGTGACCCTATGTACGACAGCCCTAAACTCCGCTCTGTCCTGTGCCAATGGCACTGTCTCTGACACTCCCAACCCAATTATTCCATTCACTAACTATATAAATGTAAACATTCATATATACAAAACAAGAATGTGGAATTTTCCATTACATCCTAAACTATGAGGAAGTATAGCCCGAGAGCTCCTTGGAGGCAAGAATGACAAAGCTTCATCTTACATATTTTGAGTGTTTTGTTAGAAAAGGCTATTCCTTGGAGAGGATATCAAGCTTGGAAAGGTGGAAGATCATTAAAAGACAGGAAGACTCTCAACCAAATGAATTGTTGCAGTGACTACAGCAATGAGCTTGAGTATGCTGGAAATGAGGAGGATGACCTAGGATAGGACAGGGTTCAGGTCTCTTGTTCAGAGGATTGCTGTGAGCCTACTCAACTTGATGGCACTTAAAAACAGCACCACCATTTGGGAAGATTTCTTTCTCTCACTCCCTCTTCTACCCAGGAATTCTTATCTGTCATTGGAACCTAAGGTGTCCTGAAGAGAATTTTGAGGGTCCCTGATGGATAAGAAGAAAAGGAATTTAATTTTTGCTTTTACTAAACTCTAGATGAAATGTAACTGTCCCTTTATTGGAAACCACAATTTTGTCAGGTTCTATGGCACTGTTTTTTTGTGTTTTTGGTGTTTTGTTTTTTTTTTTTAAGTTTTTTATTGAGATTTTGACATCAAGAAAACAAAGATTCTCACCACTGGGCCAATTGGCAGCATCGGTATGGATGGTGAAGAGATTGAAAAAATTAACCAGTTTTTTAAAAAAGTTAACAGTTTTAGTTTGCTTGGCTCCACAGTCAACACTCTTGGTACCAGCAGCCAGGAGAAAATCAAGAGACAAATTGCACTGGGAAAGCCAGTTGTCCAGAGTACTGAAGAGCAACAACATCAGGCAGGAGACTAAGGTGCACCTGATCCAGGCTATAGTCTTCACAATTGTGTGCTATGCATAGGAGAGCTGGACAGTGACTAGGGATGACAGAAAGAGAATTGTTGCCTTTGAGCTGTGGTGCTGGAGAAGGGTGTTGAATATAACATGGACTGCTAGGAGAACAAATAGGTTTGTCCTGGAGAGGGTGAAGCCGGGCTGCTCCTTGGAATCAAGGATTCTGAGGCTTCATCTAACATACTTTGGGCATGTTGCAAGGAGGGACCAGTCCTTAGAGAAGGACATCATATTTGGGAGAGTGGAGGGACAGTGCAGGAACGCAAGACCCTCGATGAGATGGATCGATTCAGTGATTGGGGTGGTGGGAATAAATGTGTCGGTGACAGTGAGGTTGCCACAGGATGGATAAGGGTGTAGGGCTCTTGTACACAGGGTCACTATGAGTCTCAAGTGACTTGATGGCACATAACAACAAAAACAGTTGAGATTTTAATGAAAATTTACTGAGAACTTGAATTTCAATTCATTCATTGTTGCACATTTACCTCCCTACACACCCTCCATGGCACTGTTCTTAATAAAATTTATAGATACATGCGTTCATATCATACTGTTCTTACAAATGCCTTTAATAAACATTTATGTTCATGCTATTTTTAAAAATTAATTGTAAGTTATTTCTATTACATTAGTTAAAACCACATACATTACTATACCCATTTTTATTTTTAAAATGTTTATATAATTGTATTTCAATATATAATTGCTTCCTTTGAAAATCTAAAATATTCTATTGCATAGATGCAAATCACAGTTCTAGAGAATGGGTGCTATGCTTAAAACACTTGGTTAACAAAAATATTTGAACCCACCAGCCTTCTGAGGGAAAAAGATGAAGCAGTCTCCTTCCAACAAGAGTTACAGGCTCTATTATAGACTCCTATTAAGATCTATGGGCAGTGGCCTTTCATGCAGGATCTTTTTGAGTTAGAATTGACTTGATGACAGTGGGTTTGGTTTTTAGTCTTTGATCCAGCAAAAATTTTACCCCAAGGGAAAACAGGGGGAGGAAAAAAATGCACACCCAAAAGAAGGGAAGGTTATTTTATTCCAGTATCTCTTGTCAGGATTACTACAAAAATCCAAATTCTGTTTCCAAGGTCTAGGAGCATTCTCCAATCTGTTTCCTCAGCTCAGTTCTCTCTCCACTTGGAAAACCCACTTGTTGGCCTTTTATACTCCCCTCACCTCTCTGCCTCCCTAACCACCTTCTCACCACCACTTCCCCCTTATAAGGCATTAATACAACCTATGGAAGTCACCTTCTTGGCCTTACAATATACAGAACTCATAGCATAAAATAAAATTTTAAAGGGCCAAATTTTATATTCTCAAGGCCGTATACAGTTCTAAATAACAACTCATTGCTGTGGAATTGGAACTGACTGATATACAGCTGACCCTGTAGCACGTTTTCAGAGGTAGTAAATCTCAGAGGAGAAGACTGTTCATCTTTCTCCCGCGAAGGACCTGGTGGATTGGAACTTCAGAGAAACGCCATCTTTGTGTTAGCAGCAGTCACCACCCGATAGACTCTCTACAGTGAAAAAAGCCCTTTAAATGCTTAGATTGAAGGACTCAGTTTTACATTTTAACCAGCTGGGAAGCTGTATAGAAATGCAAATGGTCTACTCCCACCTAAGATTATGAATAAGAATTGTTTGGGAGAGCTGGACGAGCACAAAGCTGAAGAAACAATTTGGGTGGAGGAATCGGTTTGTGAAACTACAGTATAGCACTCATTTAGGTTCTAAAAGGTATTTCAGTGACGTAAATGACTGCTACTTATTCATTAATCAAGAATAGCCTTTTCCACGTAACAAAAGTAGGAGAATCAGGGTAAGGAAACAAGTACTCGTGGGAGAATTGCCAAAATTTTCCTCCCTTTCGATGTTGAATGGCTAGCCATCAAAAGATAGATCCGTGAGAGGAGGAGGTAGCAAACTGTTTGTATAAAGATTTACAGCCTTGGAAGCTCTAAAGGATAGTTGAACTCGCTGCCACAGGGTCTCAAGAGTCATATCCACTCACCCGCTGTGGGTTTCTCTTCCCCAGCTAGGTGCAGCCACCTGGATATGCATGTGAACAGTCTTCCACAGACTCACCCAACCCCTGAAACTACAGAACAAAGTAGTTTATTCAGGAAAACCTGAGTCTTGAGTCTCTTCACACACTTGTATGATCTTGATCGGTTACTGATTACTTAGTGCCTGAGCTTTAATTTCCTTAATGTTAAAAAAAAATGATAAGAATGCCTACCCTCCCCTTAGAATTGTGATTGGGATTAAATAAGATAAAATAGGCGAAACCCAGTGCACTGGCCTTCTACAGTCGTCATTTCCCTGCTTGTATCGTTTCTTCACAACACCCACTTGCACCCACAGGGTTGGGTGGGAGGACACTTCCACGTTCTTACCTTGATCTGGGAGGTGGCGGAGTTCGCTCCCATGGACACCCAGCTCCTTTATGTAGCAGAAATCTTGGGAGACCCCAGCGGATGCTGCTGCTTCTCGGTTCTGGAAGATTTTTTTCAAAATACAAGGAGTAGATTGGAATTTCTGGGGTGAAGGTGTCTTGCTTAGGCCCAGGAGTTGGAGAAGGACATGTTCTTGAAATTGAATTGGTTGACCCAAAGCCAGGGTTAGGAGACTGCCAAGAACTAAAAGGTGAAAAAAAGGCATGGCCTCAGATTGAAAACCGATGTTTAGGATTGGAAGCGCTCTAGAGACGGACTATGCTGCAGTGCCGGCTAGCAGGCGCTCACTAATTTATCTGATTTAAGATAATCAAGTGTGAATTGCTCTCTTCCCAGCTCCTCCAAAGCAATTGGATGTGACAAGAAGTAAATTTTCTTACTTCCTTTAACACTACTCTTCAAGGAAAATTTGCAAAACAAAGATCACTAATGCATAGACATAAACTCCACCACAATCTGTTTGTCAGAGAGGGTGGAAAGGAGACACACATTTATTAATTAACATTTATTGAGCAGCTATTATGTGCAAGGCATTGAGACAAGTTGTAGGAATAGTCTTTTTTTTTTTTTCTTGTTGTGTACCGTCCAATCGGATCCGACTGGCACAGGAGGAGGTTGCCCCGCCTTCTCCAGCAGAGCATCTAGTGGATTGAATGAACCTCGTGCCTTCTGGATTGCAATGCGGAATATTCTAATAAATAATTCATAGTCTAATTAAATGGGAATAGAAATACATTTCTTATACAGATATATCCACATTGGTATGAAAAACCAAGCCAAGGAGGAAGAATTCCAAAGCGGCCTAGAATTTTGTTCATTTGTCTTTGCCTTTTCTGGTTGTCAGACTGAGTTTGGAGATGATGTTGGCAAAGTGACTTAACTTGCATTCCAGTTTTTTAAACTGAAGATAAAATTTCTAATTAAGCATAGGAATGAGATAAATTCAGATTTAACTCAATTTGTAGGATCTGTTTGAAGTACTTTGCACAATGCCTACCTATTAAGCACAAGGTGGCACAGGATAGGTCAGGGTTCAGATCTCTTGTTCATATTGTCGCTATAAGTCATACTCCACGGCACTTAACAACTGTTCATTGAAGAGATAGCTGCAGGACTGAAGGAGATATTTTTTTAATGAGACTATCACACATTCAAAGCTGAGAGAACCATGTGTGGAAAGGCACAGAAGAGATTGAAATATAGCAGCATTTAGCAATTTCTGTGCATGCATGTGTGTTTAAAGTTAAGGTTTTAAAAGCAAAGGTTTTTAAATACTATGACAGGTAAAGCTGAAAATCAGTTATTCGTTGGTTTCAACTCTTTTATTTTTACGGGAAATTTTATTTTTGTTGTTGTTATATATTGCTTTGCATACAAGTTTCAACTCTTCAGCAATGAGTTTGACAGGCATTTTTGAGGTAGAAGAATCAGTTTATATTTAAAACTGATAGTTTTCAAATTTTGAAAATGAAGACTTTATCACAACACATTGTTTAATATCACCTTTTAAAAGAACTAGGGAGCCCTGGAATATAGTCTGAAGAGAGATGTGCTGCTAACCAAAAGCCTGCCTATGCTTCGCTGTCGAAGAAAGATTATTCTTTAATAATAATAATCACACCCTCCAGTGTGATTTCAATCCACTTCTGAAATGTCTGCAGAGTCAGCTGTGAGTTAGTAAGTTCTGGCTTGACATCATTGACTGAATTTTTTACTAGTAAGAACTTGTTTTCTCCAAGGGAAAAACAGAGTGTTATATCTAGTATACATAGTTAACCATTATCTACAGGATAAATTATTAGCTTGGCATATAAGGATTTTCTTGATCCAGTACCTATATTCCTAGTTAGTGTTATTTCCACCCACTAATTGCCATTTAGGATTCAGTTGGGGGCACAAGTGGTTAAGTAGCAATGTTATATGCGATTAGAGATTTTAGACCCTCTCACAAGAAAGATTTAATGAGTTACTTCTGAAATATCAATTGTTAAAAACCCTGTGGAGCTCAGTTCTACTCAGAATTGACTCAATGAGAATGATCTTTACTTTTTGATCATCTTCCAAGCTTATGCCCAGTAAGAGAAAATGAGCTCATTTTCTCTCAAATCTTTTCACAGGCTAAATTAAAACATTTCTGTGCACTGCAAAGACTTTCTTGACTTCCTGAAGCAGATTTGGATGCTGCTTCTCCTTCTTCCACAGAGCCTTAAGTGGCCATCCATGACTGCATCTCCCTCTGTTTGCCTACCTTCCTTCCAGACTCTTTTTTGAGGTTCAGAAATATACCTTTTTTTTTTTTAAAAAAAATTATCTTTTTGTCTAATTATCTCCATTCCCAAGGAAAATATCTGACAACTAGCTGTCATGCAGTAAGCATTGTGTAAGTGAATGAATTCGGTATTTCCTCAGATGTCACACTTTTGGATAAGCCAGATTTCTCCATTCTCATTGTTCCTATCTTCTCCTACATGTATCCTAGTTAACACGTTTAAATCACTCTACAATCAACTGAATCTTTATTTGACATTCCTGACTGGAAGGCAAAATCAGACTAGCTGTGTTTGAATTCTAGACCCAGTTTGAATGCTAGTTGTGTAGGCAAGTCACTCACCTGTAAGATAAGACTTTCTTTACTAGATTACCTCAAACATCTCAGGGGATAATGTGTATGTAATGCTCAGGATAACAGCGCTAAATGGTGAGCACTTAACTGTTATTATTCTTTTCCTTATTTCTTATTTGAAGAGATTTCAAGTTTATCAAGGGGAAAAAAGGAGGAATTGGAATGCAGTCAATGAGTATACCAAAAATGACACCAAATCAGGAGGCAGAGGATCTGAGTTAATCATAGACCTTTTAATGACCATGTTATCTAGGACAGGTCATCCAGTCTTTTCTGGATGTTCATCTGTGCATGAACATTTTAAATAGAAGGCTTTAAAGGACCTGCTGTTGTTGTGTTTCATTGGGTGGAGCTGACCCATAGCTGACTCACAAGTGGGTTTTCAAAGGCAGTAAATTGCCTGGGAGGAGATCGCCCATCCTTCTGTGGAGCAGATGGTGGATTGAGCTGTGCACCATTGGGATTTTAGTGCAGCTTCTTACAAGTAGGCCGATAATCCTTTTGGTCTTAATTTTCTTATCTATACAATCATAGGTTGAGTTTTATTGTCTTTAGAGGTCCTACAAACAAAAACATTGCAATTCTGTACTTTTAGCTAAAATTGGAAAACAAAAAATGAAGCTGTGATAGCCTCCAGTTCCCAAGAAAGATGACCCAACAGAGTGTGGAAATTATCGAACAACATCATTAATATCACATGCAAGCAAGATTCTGCTGAAAATGATCCAAAAATATTTGGAGCAATATGTCAACAGAGAACTGCCAGGCTGGATTTAGAAGAGGTTGTGGTAGTAGGGATATTATAGCTAATGTTAGATGGATCTTGGCAGAAAGCAGAGAATACCAGAAGAATATCTATCTGTGTTTCATTGACTATGCACAAGCCTTTTTTTAAATTGTGAAAATGCTTATAAAAATGGTGTATTTGTTGCATGAAAATGATTGTTATTACATACTTAGTGATGCAACTAAAATTGAGAAAACAATGACCATTGCACAAATGCATCTTATCAATTTTGTTTCTTTTGTAAAATATTCTTTGTTCTTACATTGAACATATGAACATATTCTCTTGTAGTTTAGATGGTAGTACCCAGTTCTGGTGCTCCTAATTTATTTATTTATTTTTTTACATTTTATTTTAATAAATTTAATGAACATTTACAGAGATTTTGGATTTCCATTCACTCATTCTTTCCCTGCCCAGCCCTCTCCCCCACCCCTCAGTTCACTCCTCTCTTTGAAAAGTAAAAGAAACACTCCCTCCCTGGCACTCAATCCCCCCACACCCCTCCCATTACCCCAAGTACGTTCCACTATGCAACCTTAATTGTGGACTCTTGTGATAACCATAATACCCTATCATACATCGCTTTTAAATTATTCTCTCCCTCATCTGTTTCATTGCAGTATACACAATTTATCCAGTTTTTCTCAGTCTTACTCCAACCCTGATATGAGTCCCATTTTACAGCAGTGGCACCATGTAATATTTGTCCTTTTGCAACTGAGATACTTCGCTCAGCATAATGTCCTCCAGCGTCACCCATTTTTAATAATATTGCACGAGTTCCTTGTTTTTTAATGCAGCGTAGTATTCCATTGTGTGAATATACAACAGCTTTTCTATCCATTTGTTTGTTGATGGGCAACTGGGTTGTTTCCAACTCCTTGCTATTGTGAACAAAGCCTCGATAAACATGGGTGTGCATATATCTGCTTGGATGCCAGTTATGGTCTCTTTGGGGTATATTCCCAGTAGTGGAATTGCTGAGTCAAATGGTATCTCTATTTGCAACTTTTTAAGAAAGTGCCATACCACTTTCCACAATGATTGCACAATTTTACACACCCACCAACAGTTAATAAGGGTTCCAGTTTCTCCATAACCTCGCCAGCATTTGTTGCTTGCTGTTCTGTTAAATTTTGCTATTCTGACTGGGGTGAGATGATATCTCATAGTTGTTTTGATTTGCATCTCTCTTAGAGCTAGGGATTTTGAACATTTCTTCATGTGCTTGTTGGCCATCTGAATGTCTTCTTTGGTGAAGTGTCTGTTCATATCCTGTGCCCATTTTTCAATTGGATTATTTACCTTTATCTTGTTGTGGTGCTCAAGTATTTTATAAATTCTAGATATAAGTCCCTTATCTGACATGTCATTACCAAATACTTTTTCCCAGTCTGTGGTGTCCCTTTTTACCCTGTTGGAGAATTTTTTGGATTTGCATAGGAATTTGATTCTTAGAAGGTACCATTCATCTATTTTATCTTCTCCTGGTTGTAGATATGCAAAAGTATTTGACTGTGTGGCTCACAACAAGCTATGGCTGACTCTGAGAAAAATGGGAATCCAGAAAGAACATTTGATTGTGCTAATGTGAAACCTATACTTGGACTAAGAGGCAGTCATCAGAACAGAGCAAGGAGACACTACATGGTTCAAAATCAAGAAGGGGGTTCGTCAGTGATGTATTCTGTCTCCATACCTTTTCAAGCTGTATGCAGAACAGATCATCCAAGACACTGGGCTCTACGAGGAGGAATGTGGCATCAGGAT